TTTGTCATGGGGTTCTTAGGAGGATAAAATGTTTCTAAAACACAGTAAGAACATCAAAAGAGATTCCCTCTAGCGCACAGCCCTCCTACCTTCCCCTTCCTTGGCCCTGCTTTTTGAAAATAACTCCATCTGCTGCCCGTTTCATCATCTCTTTATATCCCAAACCCACTGCAAGATGACGTTGGGTCATCAAAGATCTAACGAACTCTAGGTGTGTTCTTGGACCTTTGAGTCATTTCTGAATCCTCTCTGTATTACAGTTAATCAATGTCTCCTTTAAACTTTTAGCATCTACAACACTCAATGGATCCCAATTTTCCTAATTCTCCAATTGCTCCTTCTTACTCTCCTTTGCTGTCTTGTCATTAGTATTCATTCTCAACATTCACCTATCCAGAGAACACGGTTCTTTGCCACAAGATCCAAGTTGGAACTCTAGTTCTAGTCTTTAAAATTTATTTATGTGCATGTGTGCCTGAGTGGGTTTATGTGTACCATGTGCATGCAGGTGCACTTGGAGGCCAGAGTGTGTCAGATCCCCTGGAGGTGGAGTTACAGGGAGTTGTGAGCAGCCTGATGTGGGTGCTGGGAACTGAACCTGGGTCCTCTGGCAGACTAGTAAGTGCTCCTAACCACTAAGCCATTTTTCTGATCCAATTCTACTTGTTTCCTCTTGCTAAATGGTTTAAGCCTCCATATTTTTGCCTTCACAAAGGTGACCTCTCCTGGTAATCATCCTAAATAGTTGTACCCTGAACCCATTTCATGCCATAAGAATGTCACCACTCAAATAGATGCTCTTCAAAATATTTATTTGCATACAAAACGAGACAACATGAATTCTGTTTCTTCGAAGTATTTTTCTTCAAATGCTGGACTGGCTGAGGTTTCTCAGACTCCTAGTTTAATGAAGTTTGGACAGAACATGTCATCTTTCCCCGGTAAGTCTTCCTAGCGCATACAGATATTGCTCCTTACTCGAGACCTTTGAACTGCATTGAAAATTAGGGACCATCTGCCACAAAGGAAAAAAAATGTTCAATGATGTTCACATGAATGCCTAGCAAAGTTTTTGAAACTTAAATGTTGGGAGAGGGACAGTTTTAATGATGCTTTATTCATCCATTTTCATAAAAATCAACTTTATTGCTAAGAAATTTTAACAGTACAATCAAGTTTGAGGGAGAAGACCCACTCACTGCAAGCCAATCACTTCCAGTAATACTTTCTACATTTTAAATTTTACTTGTGTGACTGGTCATGCATGTGCCATAGCACGTGTGGAGGTCAGAGGACAACTTTCAGGAGCTGTTTCTTTTCTTCTACCACGTGAGACCTGGGGGTGGAACTTAGGTCATCAGGCTTAACAGCAAACACCTTTACCCATTGAGCCGTCACCCTTTGCCCTCAGTAACTTTTTTTTTTTTTTTTTTTGTCTGAGACAGGGTCTCCCTGTAGTCGGAGCTGTACTGGAACTCACTATGTAGATCAGGCTGGCCTTGAACTCACAGAGATCTGCCTGCCTCTGCCTCCCAAGTGCTGGGACTACAGGCGTGCGCCACCATGCCCGGCTTCAGTAACACTTTTTTAAGAGTTACACAAATGCTTTATAAAATACAACAGGAGATGATTGCCCCCAATTCCTAGCCTCAGGCTTCACATTTAAAAAAATTTATTTTAAAATGTTTTACTTTTTATGTGTATGTGTGTATTGCCTACATGTAGGTAAGTGCACCTGAGTCAGGCAATGCCCTCGGAAGACAGAAGAGGCTGTCGGATCCCCTGGAACTGGAGTTATGGACAGTTAGCTGCCATGTGGGTGCTGGGATTCGAACCTGGGTCTTCTGCAAGAACAACCCGTGTTCTTAACCGCTGAGCCATCTCTCCAGCCCCCAAAATTATTTTATTTTTTAAATTAACATGTATGTATGTGGGTATCAAACTCTGGTCCTCTGCAAGAACAGCAAGCTCTCTTAACAGCTAAGCTGTATCTCCAGCCCCTATTATTATTTACAGAGGGTCTCACTATGTAGCTCTGGATGGCTTGGAACTTGCTATGTAGACAAGGTAGGTCTTGAATTCAGAGATTGGACTGCCTCCCAAGTGCTGGGTTTAAAACCATGCACCACCATGCCCAGAACTGATTTTTTTTTTAAGATATACATGTGCACACCTGTGTGCACATGTGTGCACAGGTGCCCAGAGACCAGTAGAGGACATCGCATGAGATCCCTTGGAGATGGAGTTGCAGGAGTTTGTGAGCTGCCTGTGTGAATTTCAGTCCTCTGATAGAGCAGTAAGCATTCTTAACCACTGAGCCATGCCCAGCCCCCTCACTCATGATTTCTACAATATCCAAAACACTTCCAAAAATGTTTTGATGCATTATCCTTGTTAATTGCTTTGACCTTCAAAACATTCAGTTAGGCTGAGTATAGTGACATATACACCATTAATAGGAGGCAGAGGCCCGCAGAGTTCAAGGTCAGTCTGGTCTACCTACTGTGTTCCAGGCCAGCCAGAGCTGCATAGTGAGACAGTCTTAAAAAAAAAAAAAAGCCAGGCATGGGCACGGTGGTCCATGCCTTTAATCCCAGCACTAAGGAGGCAGAGGCAGGCAGATCTATCTCTGTTAGTTCAAAGCCAGCCTGGTCTACATAGTGAGTTCCAGGCCAGCTGGGATTACAGGGAAAGAGATCCAGTTTTAAAAAGGAAAAAAAAAAAAAAAAAAATCACAAAAATGCCTTTTAATGATGCAACTTATTAGATGTGAAGGTGAGCTGGGAAGGGTGCTGCTGCTCAAGAATTAGATGTCCTGAAGCATTCCTAAACCCATCTAGTTTTGTTTGGTTTGGGTGCATGACTGTTATGAGGGTGCATATATGTGCATGCAGGTATAGCTGCATGTTGAGGTCTGAGGACAACCTCAGCAGTTGTTTTATGAGACAGGATCTCTCACTGGCCTGAAGTCTCCAAGCAGGCCAGGCTGGCTGGCCAGCAAACCCCAAGGGACCCACTTCCAGCAACTGGATTACAAATGCACCCAATCAGCCCAGCTTTTTTACAGGAGATCTGGGAATTTAACTCAGATCCTCATGCTTGCAAGGCAAGCACTTTACTAAGCAAGCTATAGGTTAACTACAGCACAAGAACTTTGTTAATGACCTAGTTCTTGATCTCTGGAACAAAGAGTGGGAAAGAAAAAAAATCAAAGCTTGAAAATTGTTCTTCAAAAGACATTAGTGGTTGAGCTAGACATGGAGGTGCATGCCTTTAATGGGGGGGGGTAAAGTGGGGTGGGGCTTGCAGAGGCTGGTGGATATCTGTGAGTTCAAGGCTGTCCTTGTCTACATAGGGAGTTCCAGAGCAGCCAGGGCTACCTAGTAAAACCCGTGTGTGTGTGTGTGTGTGTGTGTGTATTAGTGGAGGCAGGAGGATCAGGAGTACAAGGTCATCCTTAGCCACATATTCTGGGCTACAAAGAGACCAGTCTCAAAAGGAAAACCACATTAGTGGACCAGCAAGATAGTTCAGTGGGTAAAAGCACTAGCCCCTAAACCTGCCAACCTGAGTTCAAATCCTGGGACCATCCTGAGTGATGGAAACACAGGCTTACACTACTATGCCCAGCCCCGCAACTCTTTAAGTTCTGTATTTTAAGGTGCCATGGGCTCCCTGCACTCAGGAGGCAGAGGGAGGAGGATCTCTGTGAGTTCAAGGCCAGCCTGGTCTACATAGTGAGTTCCAGAACAGCTGGGGCTACAGAGAGACCCTGTCTCAAAAAGACAAAATTAAAAAAAAAAAAAAAGATGCCACAGGCATAAAACAGACTACTAATTCCAGCACAGAGGTTAAGAAAGAGGATCAAGTTCAAAGCCAGTCTGAGTGCCACAGCAAGACCTGGTACCAAACAAACCACAACCAGAAAATCAAAATGAAAAAAATAGGAACCAGTGAGCTGGTTTGGTGGGTAAAGGTGCTTGCCACCAAGCCTGAGGATCCACATGGTGGAAGAGAACCAACTTCCACAAATTGTCTTTGACCTCCACATGCACTGTGGAACAACGATGCACGTATGTGCATGCTCATGCACACACAAATTATGTAATGAAAAAAATACCATGAAGGCTGATGAGATGGCTCAGTGGGTAGACACTTCCTGAGTTTGATTACTGGGACCCACATGGTAGGAGAGAACTGTGGGGTTGTCATCTGACCTCCACACATGTGCCACGCACCCCCCCCCCAGATACATGTAATTTAAAAAACAAAAAAGGGTCGTGTTCAGCTCAGAGGTCGAGTGTCTACCTAGCAAGGTTTCAATCTCTATAACACACATGCACACAAGCCAGCCTAGTTTGTCAGTTAAAACTACAAAGCTTTTCTGACTCAGTCTAATGAGAAAGTAATGATCACAAATTTTATCCACTTAATAACCTGAGCCATTTTAAATTCATTATGCCATATTTCTAGTGTCAGGTGTGTAGTATTTAAACTGATATAAAAAAAAATTCAAAACTGATAAACTTCCATGAAATTCCAAAATATGACTAATATGGACTAAGGCACACTATTAAATAGCCAGTAAGCTTCACATTGCATCAAAAATATGCATGCTAAATCTGTGATTCCAGCCTCACTCAAGAGATGGAGAAAGGAGGGTCCTAAGTTTCAGGCCAACCTAGGCTACAAAGTGAGAGCCCATCTCAAAAAGCCAACAACCACAAAGGGAAAAGCACTGTGCTTTTAGCACTTTATATACACTATACCCTACGTTTTGTAATGTAGTGATAATTGGACATAAAATAGAAAATAGGCACTACAAAGACTTAGACAATCAGGGTAAGCACAGAGCGACTTTTAATATGCCAATCAATGTTAATAAAACACAAGTCAAACAGACAA